GGCTCATTTACCCAAGTCCCTCGGGGCTGCGCTGCTGTAATTAACTGCTGAACGCCTCATCAGAGCACCAGTGGCTGTCACAATTCGGGTCCCTGGGAGCAGTGCCGGCCTCCTGTCTCCATCCCAGTCCTGAGCCAGCACAAGTGAGGCCTAGCTGAGTCACTGCTGAGGACACCAGGCGTGGCTGGGTCCTTCTCCGAGCCTGGTGGGAGCAGTGCTGACGCTTACGCCCCAGTGGGAGAACTGCGGTGTGACGCACAGCCTTTGGTGAGCGGGGTGCTCCCAGCCCACCTGAGCAGCTCAGAGTGCTATTAACAGATGAGGAGAGAAGGCCAAGCGGCTATCTCCAGGCCACTGGGCCTCTTTTCTGAGACCAGGACCCTGAAGTCCCCGATTCTCCACACCTACCCCGCCAGGGCTGCTTCTCCCCAGGATCTGGGTGGATTTTGCTCTACCCAAAAGCCCACTGTGGAGTTTTGGGGCTTGTTCTCTTTCCAGACATTGGTTCTTCACCCAGAGAGGTCAGGGTCTCTTGTTTCCATCCTGTGCTTTCAGGCTGCCCCTCCAAGTACTGCAGGGCTGGGGCGAGGCTGCCCGGCATTTCACTGGAGTCATCCTCTCCCTGTACAGCCACGTCTCTGTGCCCAGGCCCAGGCTTCTGGACCTAGGCTGGATCCCCCTCCTCCGGGCCGGCCTTCCATCCTGGGCATGGCTCCCTCCTGTCACCTTCTCACTCAGGGTCTGGGAGTGGGAGGTCACCACCTCTCGGGGCAGCACATTGTTTGAACTGTTCAGCTCAAAGATTTTTCCTCTTCTGAGAGCAGCCATCTGTTCCCAGCAGCCTTCTCTCATCAACTCTCTCTCCCAGGGCCTTCCTCAGACTCAGAGACGGCTCCAGGTCCTCTAGAGCCCTCTTCTCTGGACGATCTCTCAGCCTCAGCCCACCCTGGGATGCCCGGACTCAGGCCCCCTCACCTTGCGGTCACTCGGAGATGGCCTCGGTGACCTGCTTTGTTCCTGACGGGGGCAGGACCGAGGCCCAGCAGTGCCTCGGCTGGTAGATCCCCGTCCCCGCTGACGTCCCTGCTGTGTACCCACTGTGCTTCCCCGCTCTCTTCTCCTGCCATGCGTTTTGGGGATTCACGTGGACATGATCTCATGTATCCTCTTTGAACTTTATCCTGGACCTTTCTCCCGATCACTCTGGAGTCAAATCCATATTAACTGATTGTCCTACTGACATGCCCCCCACACCTTTTAGAAATATTGTACGTCCTCTATATCATCTGAAAAGTTTTCCTCTGGAAGAATTTGCACTTTGAACAAAGAAAGAGGCCTAAGAAAGCACCCATTTTATAGATGGGACACAAAGCCGGGGTGAAGTGCTTGCCCAGGGCCACAGGGGCCTCAGGCAGCGTGTCATCCCAGATCAGCCATGACTAGGGGAGGCGGAGCAGCAGCCTCAAGGCCTGGCTAGATGCATTTGGACCTTGTATCCACAGCAGGACAGGACCCCGCAGACGGAGAACTGCAGTGCGACACAGCCTCCAGTAAGCAAGAACTCACGCTGGTGCTCCCAGAGCCCTGGGTCTGAGTTCTGGGCCTGCGCCGGACTCTTCAGAACCTGGAACGAATAACTCCTCTCTGCCTCAGTTTGATCCCGTGCAAAATGGAGGCAATACTGGGATCAGCAGGTGGAGTGGTGGTTAAGACATTGGACGCTCCCACATGGCCAACCACAGTTTGAGTCCTAGACCTGGTGGCTTGCTTTCTCACTTTCCCTCTCTCTCTCTGTGTGTCTCTCTGGTCAAATTAAAATAAATGAATTAATAAAACTTTTTTTAAAAAAATTATTTATTATCGTTTTCTTCAATTTTGATCAGAGAGACACAGAAAGACAGAGAGAGTAAACCACTAGGTATGGGACTCAAATTGCAGCCATGTGGGAGTCCAGCGCTTTTAGCCACCATGCCACCTACTGGCCCCCAGATTAAATCATTCTTAAGACAAAAAACAATATGGGCAGTATTGCATGTGTGTGAAAATACAGGGTAGGGGGACCAGCAGTTGGCGTAATGGCTATGTCGCTGGACTCCCATGTAGTCGACTGTGGTTTGAGTCCCGGACCCAGTGGCTTAAGCTCACACCAGGCTAGTGTGTGCCTGCATGCCCAAGATCCCCCCTTAGAGGAGAATGGAGGAGAAGGAATTGCAGCGTGGCTATCCCCCTGGGGGGTGATTTCTCGCTTTCTGTCTGTCTCTGGCTAGTGCACGTACCCTATAGCAAAACCTCTCAAAAAAAAAAAAAAGGAAGGAAAGAAAAGAAAATACAGGGTAGATGGAGAGGTTTCTACCCTATATTTTAGGATAGAAAAAGATTTCTAGGGGCTGGCAGGTGGTGTGGTAGTTAGGGTGCTGGACTCCCACATGGCCAACCACGTTTCAAGGCCCGGACCTGGCAGCTTGCTGTCTCACTTTCCCTCTATCTGTCTTTCTCTTGTCAAACTAAAATAATAGTAAATAAAATTAAATAATTCTTTTTTTCAAAAAAGAAAAAGGTTCCTCGTGTTATGTGTTAGGAAGTGAAGGACAGTTGTGACCCCTGACCACTGATCACTGCCTGGTGAGCTGCTGTGGCCATGACTATAGGAAGGCACCAGCCCAGAGCTGTGTTCTGTCACTTGGCTCCCCAAGAGGGCCACTGACACCCCCTCAGTTAGGCTCTGGGGCTCTAAGACGCCTCCTCACTTCGTGAGGGGCCATGGTTCTCCTCAGGCTAGGCCCAAGCAGACTGGGGTGTCTGGAGCCAGCCGAGGGCCTCACAGGGCTGCTCCTTTTCCAAGAAAACTGGCAGTTACGAAGGGTCAGGGCTGGGATCACAGCTGGAGGCCACGAGAAGGGTCATGTTTATTTCCAGCTTCGAAAGTATTTTAAAAAGAGCCGTCCCCACCGCCATAGATTGACTTGGAAAAACGTGTGAAGTGTAGGCTTAATTCTATCCCCCAGATTAACTCTCTCTCATGTGTCTCCATTTTAATTTACATGCACACCTGGGAAGGCGGCACCAGCACCACCTTCATAGCACGCAGTGCCGGGCCCTGCTCTTCTCTCTCAGCATCTCCTTACAGAGGTTTTCCAGTGACCATTGCTAAGGTTGCGTAATCGTCCATCCAGATGTGTCATAGTTTAGCCACTGGCTGGGCATTTGGGCCACATTTTTTTGGTTGTTGTTTGTTTATTTATTGGAGAGATTTTTTGTTATAGGGCACATGCACTTGCCAGAAAGACAAGAGAGAGACAGAAAGCAAGAAATCACCCCCCAGGGGGGATGGCCACACCACAACCCCTTCTCCATTCTCCTCCCGGAATCTTGGGCACGCATGCACACGTGCCCGGCATGAGTTTAAGCTACCGGGTCCAGGACTTGAATCACGTAGTCTACTACATGGGAGTCCATCGATGTAACCATCTTACAGAGGTTTTCCAGTGACCATTGCTAAGGTTGCGTAATCGTCCATCCAGATGTGTCATAGTTTAGCCACTGGCTGGGCATTTGGGCCACATTTTTTTGGTTGTTGTTTGTTTATTTATTGGAGAGATTTTTTGTTATAGGGCACATGCACTTGCCAGAAAGACAAGAGAGAGACAGAAAGCAAGAAATCACCCCCCAGGGGGGATGGCCACACCACAACCCCTTCTCCATTCTCCTCCCGGAATCTTGGGCACGCATGCACACGTGCCCGGCATGAGTTTAAGCTACCGGGTCCAGGACTTGAATCACGTAGTCTACTACATGGGAGTCCAGCGATGTAGCCATTACGCCATCTGCTGGTCCCTGGACCACTTTGTTTTTGCCACAAGTACTCTGGCATGCCGCAGTGTAGATCTTACACATACCTCTTTTTATTGCTTTTGGATTATTTCCTTTGGATAAATTCCCAGAAGAGTGTATGGGTCAAAGGCTCGGAACATTCTTAGGACTCCGGGAGCATATAGCCACTGCTATTTTTGAAAGCACAGGCTCTGCCCCTGTGCTGGGGAGCCCAAGCCATGTCCACCAGCTCTGGGCGCTTCAGCAGTCTGGGGCTGCTCCACGTGGTGCACTTTCCCTCGCCCAAGTCCCTGCCCCGGGGCCCAGCAGATGAGCGCACCTGGATCCCAGCCTCCTCCTCCTCCCAGGAACACAAGAAATGGTGTGTTGGGGTCTTTAGCCTGGCCCCTGAGCGGGGTTAGGGATTCCCTGTGTGTGTATGCGCATGTTTCTAGAAGACCCATAGGCAACCTCCCACACAGTCTTAAAAGGACCCAGGGTCCTAGAAGGGTTTAGTCTCTGAAATACAAGCGTAAACAAGGTCCCCATCAACTGAGGGCACCAACAAAGTGCAGATGAGGGGGGAGGAACAGGCACACCTGGGCACGTGGATGATTATTGTGGACATGTTCCTGCGATAGCACCAGAAGCCAAGCAGGAAGGGAGGGGCTCAGATAAAAGCAAGCCACGGGAGATGGGGTCAGAAAGGCAGGTCAGCGCCTGGCAGCCTTTGGCAGCTCTGACAAGAGAGGAGACTCCATGTCCACGCGAGGCCCTAAGCTCCCTGAAGTAGAAACTTGCACTGGTTTCCGGGTCAGTGGCCCCTGGCTTGGCCCCTGGCATATGGTAGCTCTTCAAGCTGGCTGAGTCAGAATCTTGCACGTGATTGGCCATGAAGGCGCGGTGGGGGACTGGGAGGTGACCCAGCAGGCCCCGTCCTCTGTGCACAGCGCAGCAGCCACTCCACACCTCTCGTGGTGTGTGGAGGACGCGGAGCACAGAGCCCACGTCGGTGCCCTGAGCATCCTCAGGGCCAGTGGCTGCCTGTCCCAGGTCCCTGCTGCTTCCAGAGGTAGGTCCATCTGGCCCCCGTGGAATGTGGCGTGGTTCCAGTTGCCATCTCTCCCCAGATCGGGGTTCTCCCCAGAGGACCCGAACTCGTCCCGGTCACCCTGCCCTCCTTCCCGCAGGAGAACCTCATGCTTTCCATCCTGCCCAAGCACGTGGCCGACGAGATGTTGAAGGACATGAAGAAAGACGAGAGCCAGAAGGACCAGCAGCAGTTCAACACCATGTACATGTACCGCCACGAGAACGTCAGGTAGGCGCCGCCTGCCCGTGCTCTGAGCAGGCCGCTGCTCGGGTGAGTGTCCGTGGGTTCTGCCTGAGGTCGTGGGCTCGAGGGTTTCCTGGGACTAGAAGAAAAGCCGTCCCCACAGCGAGCCCCTGCTCACTGGACTTCCCAGCCTGGCAGGAGAGTTGGAAGGTGCTTCAGGTTACCCAGGCCGATCCCATCACTGCTCAAACATCACCCAGAGCAGGGGCCAGCAGTTAGCACAATGGCTATGTTGCTGGACTCCCATGTAGTTGACCACAGTTCGAGTCCCGGACACAATGGCTTAAACTCATACTGGGCGCGTGTGCGTGCATGCCCAAGATCCTGAGAGGAGAATGGAGGAGAAGGGATTGCAGCATGGCCATACCCCCCTGGGGGGTGATTTCTCGCTTTCTGTCTCTCTGTCTCTCTCTGTCTTTCTGGCGAGCGCAAGTGCCCTATAGCAAAAACCTCTCCAAAA